TGGAAATCGTGCTCTTTACAACCTACATAAGTCAGAATGACTGTGTTCCAGGGTAAGTCCTGTGATGAAAGTCCATTCCTGCATAACACCCCTGAGTTGCAAACTTCTCAACAGTCCTGGCCTTGTTTACATGAACTGGACCACTTAGCTACCTCAGATACTTTTTAGAAAAAGGCTGAAATAAATAAATGTACAGCCTCTTTTGCATGATCAGAGGATAGGATACAGGATACAGGAGGATAGAAGAGAACCTCCATGTTTCTTCCTGGTGGTGGCCCTTTCACATGCATAACAACTGGACAGCATCCAGTGTCCTCTAAACACAGCTCTTGTCTGTGTTTTCTCCATATGTGAGGCAATTACTCAAATTGTGATGTCTAATATACTAACCACTGGTCACATATCACTATTTACATTTAAATTTAATTAAAATTTAAAATTCAGTTCCTCAGTTGAGAAGCCTGCAGGAGAGAGAGGAACACTCACACATTGCTGGTGGGACTGCAAACTAGCACAACCTCTATGGAAAGTAATACGGAGATACATCAAAGAGCTAAAAGTAGAACTACCATTTGATCCAGCAATCCTATTACTGGGCATCTACCCAAAAGAAAAAAAGACATTCTATGAAAAAGACATCTGCACTAGAATGTTTATAGCAGCATGATTACAATTGCAAAAATGTGGAAACAACCCAAGTGCCCATCCATACATGAGCAGATTAATGAAATGTGGTATATGTATACCATGGAGTACTATTCAGCCATAAAAAACAATGGTGATCTAGCACCTCTTGTATTATCCTGGATAGAGCTGGAACCCATTCTACTAAGTGAAGTATCCCAAGAATGGAAAAATAAGCACCACATGTACTCACCAGCAAATTGGTATTACTTGATCAACACTTAATGTGCACATATAATAGTAACATTCATCGGGTTTTGGGCAGGTGGGAGGGGAGAGAAGGCGATGGATATATTCACACCTAATGGGTACAGTGTGCACCGTCTGGGGGATGGACACACTTGAAGCTCTGACTCAGGTGGGGCAAAGGCAATAAACATTTGTACCCTCGTAATATGCTGAAATAAAAAAAATAAAATAAAATTCAATTTCTTTGTTACATTAGCCAAGTTTCAAGTGCTCAATAGCCACATGTGGTAGTGACTACCATATCAGATGACACTGACAGAGCATTTTTATCGTTGCAGAAAGTTCCATTGGACAGCATTGTCCTACACTACTATATGCAAATAAATTCTCTCAAACATAAAGTATTTAGTTCTGACTTCCAGAAAGCTCAGGCTCTTGCCACACATAAGGCTCTACAGGCCTCTTTTTTTTTTTTTTATTTCAGCATATTTTGGGGGTACAGATGTTTAGGTTACGTATGTTGCCCTTGCCCCCCGAGTTTCAAATATGTCCATCCTTCGGGTGGTGCGCATTGCACTCTTTGTGTATGCAAATACCCGTCCCCTCCTCCCTCCTCCCCCCTCCCCCCTCCCCCCTGCCCAACATCCAATAGATGTTATTCTTATATGTGCATTTATGTGTTGATCAGTTAATCCCATTACTGGCCATCTACCCAAAAGACCAAATGATACTATATAAGAAAGACACCTGTACCCGAATGTTTATAGCAGCACAATTCACAATTGCAAAGATGTGGAAACAACCCAAGTGTCCATCAATACATGAGTGGATTAATAAAATGTGGTATATGTATACCATGGAGTATTATTCAGCTTTAAGAAACAATGGTGATATAGCACCTCTTGTATACTCCTGGATAGAGCTGGAATGCATTCTACTAAGTGAGGTATCCCAAGAATGGAAAGACAAGCACCACATGTACTCTACAGGCCTCTTAACAGGTATGTTTTGGAATGAAGGTGGGGGATTGCTAGTTAAGCAGGGAAAAATCAAAGTATTGAACAAAACTCTCACTCTTGAGCTGGCCACCACAGTCACACTGCCCGTTCACCCCTCTCTGGGGGGTGTGGTGTGCCAACCAGAATGCTGCCACTGGCAGACAGCACGGACACCCCCCGATGCCTGTCCAGCTCAGCACTGACGGACTCTGTATGAACCCAAGTGTGTGATAATTCATTTCTGGGGCTCACAGGGTGAGAAGGGACAAGTCAGAAAATAAAATTGCTTGGTAAGGTTCTCTCCATTCGTGAAAACCATCCCTCTCAAAATTTCTCACATTTGTTCAGTATAATTCTCTGGCTTATAGATCAGACTTATAAGCCCAGGCTCAGAATGTGGGCAATGAATCAGTAAATGTATTCCTCCTTGAGTGCTCATTCATTGATTCATTTATTGTTCTCTCCTGCTGTCAGGGAATCTAAGAGAGGGTCCAGAAGAGCTTGGGATCTCTTCCTGTCAGCACTTAGTGTTCTCCTTCCTCAATCTTCCCTGTGATCCTCTCCTATATATTTCTCAAAAGACGTAATAAGAGGGAAAATCTTCCTCAAACACTATTTTGAATGAAAGAGAGACAGAGACCAACAGACATAGATAGACACCCTCCCTGGGAACCAGGTTAGCTTGGGTTTGGAGACAAGAGCAGTATGGTCCACTAAAAATATAATGAGAGCCACATATGCAATTTTAGCTTTTCTAGTAGCCACATTAAAAAAGTAAGAAATAGTTGAAATTAATTTTAATATATTTTATTTAACCCAATATGTCCGAAATATTACTATTTTGACATGTAATCAACATTCTTAAATTACTTATTATATAGTTTACATTCTTATTATTCACATTTGTTTCAGAAATCTGGTGTGTATTTTACACTTATAGCACAGCACATCTCGATATGGACTAATCCCATCTCAAGTGGTCAATAGCTACGTGTGGAAAGTGGCTACCGTGCTGGCATATGCATGTCTCTGAGAATCTGGCTTTTAGGGGATTGTCTTCTCTGGTTCTCAGGGGAGAACCTAATTCAGTGAATTCTGCTTTAAAATTGATTTTCTGTCAGATTGAATCTCATTTTAGTAACCTGACCCATTTCTAACATCTATAGGCCCTTTCGTATTTTATCACCATCCCAATGGTATTTATAAATGTTTCCCAATTACCATAATTATGTTAAATAACACCCAACTCTCAGTCCAACCTCGGCCCAATATATATCTTCCTCAAATCAAAACACCACTCCCTTTTTGTCATTACATTTTGGTTCATTTCCAATGTGTGAATTGTGTTTTACTCCCAACCAACTGGTACTAATTTTGCAAGAAAAACACTGTGAATTGCCACAGCAAACAACAACATTTTTTACATGAATTTATCCTTCCTCCAAAGGACTTGGGGCTCTGAAAAGAATTCAGTTCATTGCTCCCATTGGTAGAAAAGTGAGGAAAACAAAAACAGAAATACAAGGAGGAGTAGGAGTTGAACTGTCTTTTTGCCTAATTCTTAGGGAGCAGGGCCATGCTTCATTTTAACCATTGGCAAGACACGGCCTTGCTTCACTTTCTCTCTCAGTTCCTGTGCCTATGAAAGACAATCAGTCACCGGTAAATCCAAGCTCCCTGCTCATTCCTTCAAGAGAGGTGGTGGAAGTATAAAAGTCTTTTAAGATTCAGCCTGAATGTTAGTTAAACAGAAATGCGCACAAAGGGAACGATGAGGCTGGTCTGGTGGGAGCAGGAGCTTTGACCTGTGGGCGCTCAGGCTGGTGGAGCTGAGCGTCCCATAAGGAAGGAGGTCCTTGGCACCAAGGGAGCCAGTGACCTTCCGATTTCACTCTCTGGGCAGGTGTTTCAAGTCTGCTTTTGTTGTGATGTACTCAGAGTGCTTTAGCCATGGCCTGACTCACGGGACCCCAGCCTCGTCCAGCTGTGTGCGCAGGGGAAGCCCACAGGAAATGACACGTGTCCACAGAGGGAGCCACGTCTTAGCATTTGAGTCTCAATTCGCCTTTTCTGGGTGAATCCATCACTGAGGCTTTGGAAAAGAATCTCTTTCCCATCAGAAGTAAAATCTGGATTTTTAAAACAGGGACTCTTCCTAGGGAAAAAAAGGAGGGGCCGATAGAGGGTTTAGAAAACATATACCCTCGAACCAGCTTCTTTGAACACTTTTATTCACTCTCTGACCTCTTCGTGCTGGGGTCGGGGTAACTGTGGCATAACCGTGCCATTTCCTGTTGGCTTCCCCGCGCACACAGCTGGACGGGCCCGGGGTCCTGTGAGCCAGGCCGTCGCTAACACGCCGCGAGTGCACCACAACAAAGGGACGCTTGACATGTGGGACGTGCAGCTGCGCCAGCCTTGGTTCCCACGAGGTCCCTAGACAGAGTTCCCGCTCCCACCAGACCAGCCTCATGCTTCCCTTTGTGCTGCCCAACACTTCACCACGGATCAGCCTACCGTGGCCACCTCACCCCAGACCGGCATGTCTTCCCGAAGGCCTGTGTCTGTATCCTTAACTGCATATTACCTTTTAATGTAAATGTTGTCTCCCCACTTAACTGTAAGTTCTTAAGAGCAGAGACCTAGGTTTAGTCATCCTTGAATCTCCCCGTAAAGGCTGATATCATGCCTTATTCATAACATGCCTTGTTCATAACATGCCTTGAATGAGTGAATGTGAATGACAATGACAGTGACAATGAGACGAGGGTGGCTCTGCAGTCATGCCATCCTCATCACCCACCACAAAACCGTGTAGCCCAAAACCCTGCCCAATGCCGTTAAGAGGAACGTGTTTCTCAGAGCCACAGGATCTGTCCAAACTGCCAGATTCAAAACAAGGTCAAGTTTTTTTTTGAACTTTGCATTCATGATCAAGATACACACTACTTACCCCAGGTCTGCCACAGTGGGATGGAGGGGAAGGGAGAGGAAATGAAGGTGGAGAAGAGAGTGACATCCATTTACTCCCCTGAACACATGCACACTGATGGAGAATACAGCTGCTTATACGTCCACCTGTAACAGCAAAGGCAGCAATGTGTCTCCCAGAAGATGCCTCTCGGGTCGCTAATCAGTCTCTGATAGGAAGCTGAAGCTCCCCAGGCTTCTGTAACTCAGGACATTAAAGTAGTCGTGCGGCTCAGCGTAGTCGTCTCCCCTCTGCTCTCCGCGGAGGCCAGCAGGGCCAGCTTCTGCCTGGACACAGCTCCCAGGGGATGCGGGGACACTGGGACGCCATTGCTCCTGTTCAGCTGGTGTTCTCCTGAGGTCACTTTCCACAGAACGGATTCTGAGAGATTTCTAAAAACAAACCAGCTACAAAGTGAGTATGTGAGGACGTGAGTCAAAATTTGCTCCCCAATATGACACAGACCGAGAGTTATAACGATCTCTCTCTCCCTTTCTTACACACACGCACAAATTTGTGTTCTTACCAACACCAATTCCCTAGCCCTTAGTTTCTCAACCCTTTACAGCTAGATTTCAACGCTAACCACACACTGAAACTACGCGTGCTACGCACACAGTGTGCTGCGCACCCCATTGCTTCCGACACACGGAGCCTCATGAGGTGGCTTTCGTCCTCTCTTGGCTTTTACCCTTTAGTGCACTTGACGCTGTTGATCTCTTTCTTTTCAAAATGTTCTTCTTCCTTGCTCCTGTAGCATCACTGTCCCCTTCTCCTCCTCCTCCTCCTCCTCCTCCTCCTCCTCTTCCTCTTCCTTTGAAGCCCAGCTGCATCTTCAGCCAGGCCTGCCCTTTTTCTCTTTGCATATCAGCTCCCCACACCACGGGGTTCCCCAGGGTTCTGCCCTCTGCTTTCTCACATTCAACACTCTCTCCAAGTTACTTCATCCATTTATCTCCATCCGTACACCTCCAACGACCACCTGTCCTCTGAAGATTCCCAAATCTCTACCCAAACGAGCCCAGGCTTCTACCCTGAGCTCCGGACCCACGTGCCCACTGGGCACTGCCTGCTGACTCCTAGCAAGCTCAGACTCAACTTGGCCTCAAGTGAAACCGTCATATTCCCACCCCAAAAATTGCTCTTGCCCTACATTCTCTATCCTGGCTATGGCACCAGCTGGCCAGAAACCTGGAGGCTAATGTTAAACTCTATTCACCCATAAAACCCCATCCAATTTTACTCCTAAGGAGCTCTGAAATCTACTCCCTCTTTTCCGACCCTGCATCCATGTCTTCTCTCTCACCCGGCCTTCATCCTTGCTGCCTCTGAGCCCCTTCTTCCTGCTAGTGCAACTCCACACAGCCACCAGCAGTGATTTTTCAAAAATGAAAATTGGATCAGTCCATACTTCAGCCTCAAACCCTTCAACGGCCCCTACTGTTTACAGCAAGGGTGTCTGAGAGGCACAGGTGGACTTCAGGGGATTTGCAAATGTCCTTAAATTGTATAAAAATTTTTTTGCACAGTGGGACATTCTGGGAAGAAAATCCATAATTTCAGTCCCTGCAAGAGACTGTGATGCTCCCCAGAAACATCCTTTGTGACTTGGTCTCATTCATCTTTCCAGCTTCATCTCCTGCCATGTGTCTCCACCCAATGTACCCCAACTTCTGGGGCCCACATGCCAGAGAGCTACCATTTATTAAGAATCTTTTGTGAGCAGGGACTGGACTGGCTTCTTTATGAAATCTCAGCACAACTCTATTGAAGTTTCTACTTCTGAATGAGCTAATAGTCACAGACAGGTACAGTCACTCACCCAGGAGCAAATCCAATTCTGGCTCAGGTTAGTCTGACTCTAGGCTGTGCTCTTTCTCCTTAGCCAAATTGCCTGTCATCCTACAGCTTTCTCGAATGCCATGCACTGTTTCTTGGCTCCCTTCCCAGTTTTGTGTATGCTGTACCCATTATCCATTCCCTGCAGTTCCTTGAAAAGTTGTCTACTCATTCTTCCAGACTCAGCTTCCCAGCATACTGTCCAAGAAGTCTTCTCTGACCTCTTGGGGGAAGTTACATTCATTCTGTGCTATAATACGGTCCTGGGTGTTCTCTAGTGTGACATTGAATGCTGTCTGGAACTTATCTGTTTATTCTTCTGCCTTCTCAGGGCTCCAAACTGTGAGGTCCCTGAGGGAAGGGTCTGTGCTGTATTCCTCTCTGCAGCCTCAGAGCCTATAATCGATGCTCAATATATATCTTAGGACTGAAATACACACACACACACACACACACACACACACACGCACACACACACACACACACACACACACACATTATTCTACAGCCCCATACCCAAAAGAATCTGATTTTCCAAATCAAAGTAGGGACTCATGGCCAGACAATTGCACTTATGGGACCACAGGACAGAAGAGCGAAATCTGTTGAGTAAAATCAAGGGTGGGAAGTCAGCTATCACAGCAATATGACAGCATCATAGGCAAGGATGGTGCTAAGAAAGGAAATCAATGGACATCAGACACAAGTAGGACTGCAGAAGAAATGCTTATTGGCATCCCAATGCAAAGTTGACATCCTCTCAGCCTTACTGGAGACTTCTCTAAAGCACAGGTCCAAGTGACAGAATCACAAAGAGCCACAGGCTTCGAAAGTAACAGCAACAAACACACACCAAATCTCACTCTGCTCACTTCTCACTGCTTCCAAGATAGGAAACACCAGCACCAGCACCAACTAGCGTCAAGCCCAGCAGTGCACAAACATGGGGAAGGAGCTGAGAGGGAGGGTGCCCGGGGCTGTGGGGGTATGCAGCGTGAACACATATCAAAAGTTAGGGATGGAGCATCACTGCAGGCCTTAGGAGCTGGGCCTAGGGAGAGACCATAGTCTCAGAAGCACATACACAAACCAACAGTCTTTCCCCACATACAGTTTCATTCATTCCATTTTCAGTAGAAGTGGCTGAACCTTAACCTAAGTATAAAGAAAAAGGGGGTTGTCAGGGCTCATGCTGATGCTGTGCTTAAAAGAACTACTAAATCCCTTGATGCAATCCAATCCATTTTTAAAATATGAATACTCAATTCTTTCTCAAAGAACTGATTTTGACCTCTTGTGCTTATGCGTTCTTGTTCCCCTTCTTGGTGAGACTGGCCACCATGCCTTTTGATCTAAAAACTGTTTTGACCTCCAGAAGTCCTCTGGAAAATTCACATACTCCTAAATTGGGCCCCTCAGCTGTTCCATTTTCATTCCATCCTGCATGGGGGACTCTGTAATTGTAATTAGCATAAAAATAAATCCAGAATTAATGTACTTATGTTGTCCTGAAGGACCAAAGGGAGCCACAGAGATGGTAGCTGGGTCTTCCCAGGACAAACATTGTCCTCTCAGGAAACATAAGGAAAATAGACAGTGTGGTTGGCAGAGTCATTGTCCAAGAGCTGGATACGTGTCACTCCTTTTCCACATAGAACATACCATAGGGGCACTTTTCGCAATAGCTGCTGAGCAAATAATATTTATTCATTATTCATAATAAATGTATGGAATATAACCATTTATTGAGCACCAGGTATTATGAAGTATTATGATAAATAAAATTTATAATAATTATAAGAACTTAATAAATAATAGTTATTAATACACACCAGAAAAAATGCCAAGTGCCTTACATGAATTATTGGACTAAAGTTTTCCCACAACCTTATGAGGGCAGCACCATAATTATCTCCATCTTACAGATGAAGAAACTGAGGCTCAGCTAAGTTAAGTGACATGGCTACTCAAATGGTAGAGCCAGGACTCAAACTTGGTCTGTCTGATTCCAAAGACCATGCTCCTAAATAATGCAATCTACTGGCTCTCAGGGTCTGTAGGGAAGGCTGTTGGTGCCTGTGATGGCTAATTTTAGGAGCCAACTTAACTGGATTAAGGTATACCAAGAGATACCCAGAGATCTGGTAGAACATAAATTTTGGGTGTGTCTACGATGTGTTTCCAGAGATTGTCGTGTGAGTGAGTGGACTGAGTATGGAAGATCCACCTCAATATGACTAAGCACCATCTGGGCTGGCAGCCCAGATGGAGCAAGAACAGGGGAAAGACGAATTGGTCTCTCTTTCTTCTGGAGCTGGGACACACGCTTCTCCTGCCCTTGGACATTAGGACCCCAGGCTCTCTGGCCTTGGGACTCCAGGACTTACACCACTGCCTAACCCCTTGGGTTCTCAGGCCTTTGGCCTCAGACTGAGAATTACACCATCAGCTTCCCTGGTTCTCAGGCTTTTGGACTTTAACTGAGCCACAGTATTGGCATCACACGGTCTCCAGCTTACAGATGGCCTGTTATGGGGCTAGTCAGCCTCTACGGTCACATGAGCCAATTCCCCTTAAAAATCCCCTCTCATCTGTCTATCAGTCAATCAATCTATCTATCTAATCTCTATTGGTTCTGTTTCTCTGGAGAACCCTGACTAAGACAGCTCAGATCCACCTGACCAGCACTCCTATTTCCCAGATTCTGGGAGTATAGTCTATAAGCTCACAGCATTCCCTTCTCTGGGTACTTGCTCTGGGGCCCTCCTGGGTGAGCAGCCAGCAATCAATGACTGACCGAGATGGATTTTCAAAAAGCCAGCTCTATGCCTCCAGGGGCAACCAACTCTGTGCTATATTGCTTCAACCAAGTCTCCAGCTGAGACCACATCCACACTGAGCTTTCTTAGCCCTATATTGCATCCTTTACCTGAGAGCCCATCCCAATAAATCACTCTTACCAGAATTTTTGTGTCAGGCTCTATTTCTGGGGACCTGCTCTAAAACAGTGGTTCTGGGATTGGTCCCAGAAAGCAGCCTTTAAGGACAGAACTGGGAAGTGGGGTCCCTCAACAGCTGGATGGCAGTATGGACCCCATGGCTGGTGGTAAAAATGGAATGGGACACAAATGGAAGGGGATTATGACCTGGTGCAATAACTCTGGCATTTGAGATGTATAAGGTAAATAATAACTGTTAGGACTCAACCCTGGCTTTTACTAAATTCCCCTGATGCACTAAAGAGAGAAAATGACAGGCTAAGATCTATCAGCAACTTAAGGTGTGAAAGTTACAGCTCCTCCCTGGCAGCATTTAAGAGACACTCATCTCCAACAGGTGAAGACCAGGTACAGGAGGTAGGTGTAAGAAGGACGGAACCTCAAAGAAGGCTGGATTCTAAGCCTGAGCAAGTCTCCTATGCCAAAATCAAAGGCCTGAGAACTCAAGGGGTTGGGCAGTGGTATAAGTACTAGAGTCCTAAGGCCAGAGAGCCTGGGGTCCTAATGTCCAAGGGCAGAAGAAGAGTGTCTTCATCAGAAAGGGGGCGGTCCTG